AAAATTGAAGAAACCCGGATTCCAAAGATCATGGACTTTGCTGTATCTATTGGTTAAAGCATAGTTATGTGCACTGACTCTATGATTTGCATGTATTTGTATATGCGGTGAAATTCAGGCTGAATGCTCTGTGTTTGTTTTTTTTGATGTTTAGTAAATATGTGAAATTACATTATGGTCAGAATTCGGACATTTTCATATGGACAAAATCCGATGTTTCGTGAATAACCCCGAGGGATTCAATAATGTAAGACTGTCTTTTCATTGGATGCAACCCATGCTTTAGCAGGTTTTCCCATATTTGAAGACATCGGCAAGATAAACATGAAACGCTTATATGATGCAAAAATCCTTTTTTTTTTTGCCTCCAAATATTTGTTTTTATGTAGTTTGGAAATATCTAAACGGATAAGCTGCAGTAATTAGATAACGTTTCTCCCTTTTTAGAAACATGTTGGACTTTCAATATCTTTAAGCACAATTCACTTTTTGTTTCCATATTTTTGTCTGTATCCACCAATCTAATTTTTTTTTTTTAAATATCATTTACGATTTATTCAACTATTATTCAAATTTTAACATATTTTAAACAAGTTATCAAGCACTGGGGTATACTGGTGATACAGAGGAAGGCAGCAGATCAACTTGATTCAGGGTCTCTCTTCCTCCGGTAGATAGATGTACTTGAGGTATGAGTTGCACCTTAAACATCCTTGTATTTTGAGGTCTGAAATGACAACAATGGTAGATACCAGTAGTGCAGTATATCATTATTCACAGAAGGAGAAGAATTATGAGGTGCACTTATATTATACGTAGTGGATACCAGTTACCCATACATCCCTCCCAGCGTGGCGACTGAACCACTATACGCCAATTGTGAGTACTATCTTATGTAAGTGTACATCAGTTCATTTACTTATTCAGTGATCATTCCTTTGAAATACTACACAGTATTGTCTCTTTTTTGGTCTATTACATGTCTTATGGAGCACAAAGTCCAGACCAAGAGGTACATTCAAGGTCCATAAGTGGGGATTGTACGGTTTAAGCATAATGGAGCTAAACTGGTGCTCTAAATAATGTAAGTGCATATCTTTTTGTCCTACTTCTGAATTTACTAAACTATCAGATTCTACCTTTATCCCATATTTGTAGTTTTTATACCACTATACATAAGGGTGTTTAAGGCGCAACTCCCACCTCCTTCTCAAGAAAATTTTAACATATGTTTATATAGAATTAAATACAAATAAATATACATCGTATATGTTAATGCAGGTGCGTATTTTAAGATAGTCGAAAGGTAGAAAATAGCAAAGTATTGGTCTCATGCAGCTGCTTTTCATATTGTTTTGTGTTTTGCTATTAATAAAAAAACAGACATTGCTTTGATACTCATTCATGTTTTAAAAATACATATAGATGTGTTTATGTGTATGCAGTCTTTCTCTAATTAATAACTATCCTGGGAAAATGGTAAGCAGTAATAGTACCATACACTGTACAATACTTGTTATCGTGCTCAGTGATGCAAAGTCTGCATTCATGCACAAAATCAACGTGACTTACCCGCAGGGAATGAAAGATAGGGGGAGAGCGTGGGGGAGAGGTAGTGACATGAAGGAAGAAAAGATTTGAAAAAATAATAACGAGGAAATGAGTCTTTCTTTATTATGATTTCTTTACATATATCATTTATCTCTTTAAAATATATAATCTGGGGAATAATGTTTTATACCTTTTTTTAAAAAGGCTAGATGGTCTGAGGGGTCGTGAATACAATAATCTTGAGCGGTATATAATAAGTCATAGGTCATTCGGCAGATCTTGGATTGCCTGTAGAAAAAAAAATCTAAATATATTTTCTATTTTAATTCGGGTGAAATTTGATGTGAAAATTAATATATTCTCATATTGGAAAATATTTGTGTAGTCCGTCACCTAATGGATGTACTTTTCTTTAGAGCCTGTCAGTGCTACGTCCATTCACATGTCTGAAGATTGTAATTAGGGGAGGGCTGGGGAGTGTCCGCAGGAGCAACATAAAAATATTAAAGAGCTTGACACCCACGTCATAAAAGGCCCAGAAATAACAGGTTGGAGAAAGATAGCATGTCCATTCAAGGGACCTTATACTTTGACCTACATCCTGGTGACACATTAAAGTTACACTGTAGGCACCCAGACCACTTCAGCTCATTGAAGTGGTCTGGGTGCAGTGTCCCTTTTGCACCTAGTGCTGCAATGTAAAACATTCAAGTTCCAGAGAACTGCAATGTTTACATTGCAGCCTTAAGTCACTAGAGGGCTTCCTGGTTTGAAACGGACCTTTGGTCTGGTATCTGACACTGGACGTCCTTGCGCTCTGCATGAGGACCTCCAGCGTCAGATTTTTCCAGATGGGAAAGCATTGATTCAATGCTTTTCTATGAGGAGGTCTAATGCGTGCGCAGCATTATGGGACAGAGAAGGAGGAGGAGCTTCAACGTGCCTCGCCGCTGGGTAAAGGTAAGTAAATAAAGTATTTAACCCTTTATTTACCCAGGCAGGGGGCAGTGTGTAAGAGAGGGGGGAGGCAGGAGGAGTGATAGTGCCAGGAATACAGCTTTGTATTCCTGGCACTCTAGTATACCTTTAAAGTAAATTTTATGCTTAATATGCACCCGGAGGTCTTGAAGCAATGAAAGTGAATATGACAATGAGAAGAGTACCATGCACAGAATGTTTGATCTAAAGCTGCATACTCTTGAAATTTTTTAGGATATACCAAAGATTGGTCTGTAGAGAGAATAGAGTCATTACCTGGCTTTTCAAATATATCATCCTCTGTACAAAACTATATTATGAACAATAAACTGTTGTGGAACTTTGTTTTTTTCACAATGTTTATTATATTTGCATACTAAAGACATCATTAAATACCTTCCTGCTTCATATGTATGTCAATAATGCTTCTGAGTATTATATAACAGTAATGACGCGTTTGTGTGTTGTACTGCATTTTACAGAGTTGTACAAAAGGCAATCGAGACATATTGCAAAGTCTGAGGGAGGTGGGAAGAGAGTTGTTTGAGCAATCTAAAAAAATTGCGTACATTTGCACAGCCATGAAGATAACATGCATTCTCTTCAAAGCAAAACTGGATATCTAGGTGTATTGGAGGGACACTATAGTCACCAGAACAACTACAGCTTAATGTAGTTGTTCAGGTGAGTATAGTCAGTTCCCTTTTCTATGGGAATGCATTGGATTGGCTGAGATTGTCAATTCTGATTATCTCAAGCCAGGGAAGCAGACCGGGGGCAGGGCCAGCACCGGCAGACCCGTGCGGCACTGGAATAAAGGTACATTTTAACCTATTTAAAGGGGGGGAAAGAGGGTCTGGGGATCTAAATAGTGTTTTTAACATTATAATGTCAGGAATACACATTTGTATTCCTGACAATACAGTGTTCCTTTAACAATATAAGTCTATAAATATAAACTGACTTACATACAGAAGAAAAAGAAAGTGGGAATAAAAAATACAAAGTGGAATGTGGTGTAACTATGCTGTTTTGTTACAGGTTTTGTTACATTGAGGCAGTGCTGGCGCAAACAGCATCAGAAAAAAAACTTGAGGTCTGTAGGTTGCGGTAATTGTGCTCTTTTGTCATAAGGATATCATTAATGACCAGCGGCGTACTAAGGGGGAGGCGGGGAGGGCGGTCCGCCCCGGGTGCCACTCAGTAGGTGGGTTCCATGCTCTGTACCTTCTGCTCTCCCGCAGCTCCGGCAGACCGGCGCTCAGTTTGTGAGTCAGAGCACAAGGAGGGGATTCCCAGCCTGTGTTCTGACTCACACACTGAGCTGCAGGGAGGCTATTTCAGAGTGTACCAGCAGGGGGCGCAGAGCCAGGTTGCTCCAGCTCTCTAGATCCCCTGCACCTGCTGCCTGCCTGGGAAGGAGCTGCTGCTGCCCCTACCCCTGCACCCTCCTAAACTGTAAGTAACTATTATACCCCCTGCAATTATACTCCCACCCCTCTTCCCCTTTACCCCCATGCCCCCTGCCCTATACCACCACCTCACTGCCATTATAACCCCCCTGCCATTATACTCCAACCCCTCCTGCCCTTTACCCCCACCTCACTGCCATTATAACCCCAGAGCAGCCACCAAATGGTGAGACAGACCCTACTGATACTGCACCCTCCTAAATGGTAAGGTACTACTATATCCCCCTTGCCCTATACCCCCCCTGCCATTATAACCACACACCCCTGCCCTATATCCCCCACCCTCCCTGCGCTATACCCCCACCCTCCGTGCCATTATACACCCATGCAATATCACACACTAAGCCCCAGACCCCAATCTACTCCGACCCACCCAGGCACATACAACTGTTCCCCTACTGTCACATAGACACATTACACACAGGCTCACATTAACAAATTACATATGCAGTCACACACAATGCACATACAGACGCTGTCACAAACACAAGGACAGATATATCTGGGAGGCAGTGAGGTTAGTGCGCACCCTGCAGTGAACCGGGCAGCTGGGATAAGATGTCATCCTGGCATCGTCATCACTACTGGGAGCACAAGTGAGCTGTGCAGGAAGAGCACTCAGCCCATCAGCAACCGCTAATCACCATGGGGAAGATCCAAGAGCAAAGTAGGGAAGCTGGGTGGACCTCTTAATTACTAAATGTGTGTATCTCTGTCGTTAAGTGTGTGTTTATTATGATTGTGTGTATTTATATACACAAACAACCACAGATGTACAAGTCTGTGTGTATATATATCTGTGGTTGTGTGTATATAAATGTGTATGTGTTTAGTAGATAGCTCCCTTATTTGGTGTCCTTAAATATGTCAATCCCACATAAGGACAACAACTAAGGGAGTTATCTACTAAACAACTGAAAGATTAAAATTAAGTAAAAGGCTTTAAAATTTTGATATTTTAGCAGTTTAGTAGATAATTCCCTAAATTAATGCTCTTGTGTGAGATTTCCATATTTAAATATGCCAAATTAGGGTGCTCTTTAGATCTAAATATGGCAATCTCACATAGGGATATCAAATAGAGGAGTTATCTGCTAAACAAAGATCGAAGCTTAGAGGAGTCAGCCAGCACAGAACAGGAAATCTGGGTGGCTAGTATGAATTCTATGCAAACGCCAACACTACACACCCCTACATTCACTCACACATTTTCCATACAAAAACACATGCTTACATTTAGATGAACAAACACTGCTAAGTGCTACATTCATTTAAAAAAAATTGGGTGTTTTTTTGCATTTTAAGGTGGTGGTGGTGGGGGGGGGGTGCCATAAGGAGAATCCGCCCAGGGTGCCAAATGCTCTAGGTACGCCCCTGTTAATGACAACTATCTTTTTATCTTTCAGGTAATCTACTTCATTTTACTTTTTTCTAAAGACATGTTTCCATGGCCCTAGAACCTCCAGCTCATCTGAACATTCCCTTCTAGTGGGTATCAAAAATACTTCGCACACAGACTAATTAGGTACTGTTTGAGCTACTCCAAAAGACATGGAACTGATGCTAGAGATTCAGGAGAGAGCACTAATTGTACAAATTATTTCTTATCTGAAACGGTTCAGCCTGATGAATGGTTAATTGCCAACTTCCATCAGAGATGCCCTTTCAAAATTTCCCTCTTCCACCTCACCGTACACCTTTCTCTCTTAGTCTGCCCGTTGCCCTCCTTTCGGTAAGTATTAACCATGCCTCCCTCCATATTCAGACCCTACTAAATCCCTCCTACTCCCCCACTCTAATGGGTCCCCAATGTACACATGAAGTCCGTAGGGTCAAATGGGGTATTTGGATGGAACGTGTGTAAGAGGGAAAAGAAAAGATTAGAAAATATATTGGACGAGGTCTTTAGGAAGGAAATAGATAAGAATGGGTATTGAGAAGGAAAAAGATTTGTATGTTTGTATCTTTTTTTAAATAGGTAGCATTGTTAAGTAGTTTATAGCTAGTTTGTTAAGCGTTCATGGTTGCTAGTTTTTACAGTGTTATTTGTAGTTAGTGTAAAGGAGCTCCCCGACCGAGTACCCTCCGTTGATGGACGCTTCCTAGCTTGCGCCGAGGTTCACAAGCCCCGCACCGGACACCACAACCACCGCAGACTCCGCAAGCACTGTAGCTTGACTGGAGTCTCGCCATCTTCCTTCCACCCTGGATCAGCTTCTGTCCTCCAGGACTGTGTGGGAAAGACCTCTTTCTTCCAACCTGTATGAACCTCCAGCATCCAGGACTGTGTAGGGAAGACCTCTCCTCCAAGGAGAGCATGTCAGGCACAAGCTCCTAAAAGAGCTAAGTGATTCAAGCTCAGGGGAGAATAAAAAGCATAGCAATCCCCAGTGTGATTATAACAGCTCCCTCCAATAACGAGACAAGGCTATGTTTAGAGGGATCAAGAAGAACTGTCTAAACCTTTATTTTACTTGGGACTAGCCCATATGGTCATTACATTAACAATGCTGTGAAAACTCAATAAAATTACAAACAGCCAAATCATAGCAGGCAACACACAGTGACTTATCACAACACAATGGCACATTTCCAAATAGGTGGGGGAGACAATAACCTACAGAAAATATCTCACGTGTCTGCAGAATTAGCAATATGCAAATCTACCCGAATATGCAAATGAACCAGTCTTGCTATTCAGGTAGTGCATATTGCTGTTGCTACCAACAGAGGGCACTAGACAAGCTCCATAGCCAAATCCACCTAGTTGGTAGCAAACCTCAGCAGTACAGGAGAGCAGGCAATACATTTCACAGTACACACACACTATAAACAATTACATTACACACACTGTAACGGACCGTTTAGCTCACCAGAGGTTAAAACCGTTTAGGCGATATACCCCTTTCTCAGCTACACCGACAGCTACTGTAAGCACCGATCTCCCGAACTGGAAACACATGAACACTAGAAATATCCGAACAGGAAAACCATACAAAACGGTTACACTCCTGGCAGTCAGCATACAATCCAATTCCCCCAATAACGAGACGACACTTCATTTTGAGGGTTAAGCAGAATCCTAGATTTATTCACACAACCTCCTTTTAAGACATTCTCCCATGCAAGGGAGGGATCCACAACAATTAGTACCCCAGCCAATAGTGTACCAGTTACCTCCCACACATCTCCTCCCCCTAGTGTGACACATAATCCCATTAGTCCAAACACAAATTCCCTGGGATACTGGATGTACCCCTAAACATAGGGTTACCCCTTTAAATGTTACATCCCCTGGTAGCCCTGATCTTGGTGAGACACATATCCAAAAATCACCCAGATCGGACCAGGGGTTCGGGAATTATGGAGGGTTAAAGTTTTGACCGACTGGATGGCAAAAGTATCCGAAAATAGTTCCATGTATTTTGGCCCTGCATTCGGTCACAGAAAAGGGAATGAAACACACGAATTCACTGGGTTATGGAGCTTGGGAAGGATTCGTATGAATCCCCTTGTTCGTGGGATCCTCTCGCCATTCTGAGACAGCCACTAGAGGAAATAGGGGAAGGCTTAACCCATTGATAAACTGCTATGTTTATGAAAAAAATGGGTTAACCCTAGCTGGACCTGGCACCCAGACCATTTCATTAAGCTGAAGTGGTCTGGGTGCCTAGAGTGGTCCTTTAACATTCTATATAATCACTGGAGCTGTACATTGATTAGCTGGCATCCTTCAGAGCTCTTCATCATTGAAGGTATGTAAATACACCATTTCTCTAGCAATATTGCACCTATGTGCTAACCATGTTGGCATGATTTGCTACTATCACCTGCTCTCTTTCATGTTCTCTCCCCTGAGCCTTTTGCATCCATATGCAAAACCAGGTCAGAAAATTGTTCAAATTAACATATGAGCATATGTCTTATTTCTGTGACTTCAATGTCTCTTTTCTTTGTACTTTTCCTACTATAAATGTTTTGTATTTGTGTTTTTGTCTAGCATGCAAATAAATTGCCTATGTATACTACTCCACCACTGAGTCTTCCATTCCGCAATTGCAGGGGGACAACACCCTCACAACACCGACTTACACATTAGTTACCGACTACCAAGGTCCTAATAAACACAGAACATTTGATCGATGGCCAAGGTCAGTCGTGTCGCCCACTGAAGGAGTCTTGGCTAATGGACCCAAAAACACTCCACATGTGGGATTTGTAAGAAGTATGTGACCTTGTACTATCACGCACACTTGTTGTCCAACCAGAGAACTGGCTATGACCTCGCTCACTATGATAGACTATGAGTGTAATTTCCTTGTTTCTGTTTATGTTACCTTAACCCGTTTTCTAATTTCTGTAACAATTTAAATTCTATAAATAAAGAATTTTTTTTAAATGTCTCTAATATTTCACCACGATATTGTTTCACCCTTCCCACTGAAGTGCTACCTCTTGATAGGAGGTGGTCTACTGGGCAAAATTTAAATAGACACTCCCTGTCTAGGTGGATAGAACGATTTTTTGCTACAGTGTATACTTTAACGAGATTGCTACAATCAGCCCCTGAGTATTACCTCTGCAAATTTCTCTGCTACTTAGTTACAATTGGATAATTACTCTGGCTTTATGCCATTTTCAACTCTTCTATTTGATAGGGTAAATTTTCCCTTTACACTGATAGGGTCGCGTATCTAAAATACCATAAAATACTATTTTTAAAGGTGTACTACACATTTAAACTTTTTTTTTTTTTTTTTTTTATCCTTCCACTGTTGGCTGCACTTATAATTCTTTGTGTGTATACTTGTTATTGTGTTTGTGTATTGGTTTCTTATAAAGTTAATTGCCTTGTGATGATATATTACTCTGGAGGTAATTCTCAAGGTCTCCCCCCCCCTTTTTTTTTTTAGGTGGAAACCTAACCTCATATATTCTTTCTATTAAAAAAAATACAGTTAAAGTGTGTGTCACAGAGGTTATTTTAAAATTCAAAAGTGCCATGCACGCAAATTATGCCCCTGACAAAAAAGAAACATTGAACTAGCATAACCCAAGACTATGGGGGGTATATACCACTGTAGAAAGAGTACAAAGCCTAAAGAAATGTAACGTATAATTTATATTTATCTAAACTTTTCTAGTATTTTAGCTGTTGGCCCATTTTTTCACTACTTCTAGAAGTTATGTAACATGAATGTTAAAAAATAGATGTCACCGGCTACAAAGCATATTTTCTTCATTTTATGTAATATTGAATAGAGTGCTATGTTGCTTCAGGGATTTTTTTGTTTGTTTTTTTTCTTTTCTCTATTATTATTTTTTTTTTTAAACCATAGAATGCCAACTTTAAACAGTGCCCTCCCAGCACTTAAATAATTATAAGGAATGCATTGCATAACCATGTATACCCCTCAAATACAATGAGGTTAAAAAGAAATGCCTTTATCTTAGGAGATGTAGTTGGAGGTGTCAGACCAAACATTATATACACGGGGTACATCTTTAATTTTATGTGCTATACGTTTTCCTTTATGTAGCATTTTGAGTTTTTAATGTATGGCGGGGGAAGGGGGTTGTATATATTTCCTGCATTTCCTCTTACGTGTGCTTTGTTTGTCACATAGAAATAGACACACCTTACTGTCCCGCAGGGTACCTTTATATTGGACTCTATGATGTCCCTATGGTGTACAGAGTGTGTATGTGTGTTTTAATGAAAGTAAGTATACAGCGTCTTATAAAAAAGGGTTTTTCCAAAAAAGAAATTTTAAAAAAATTTATGAAAAGGAGCCAAAATGTTACCAGCATTTTTGTTGTAGCTAAGCAGGCGTTTATGGACTATGATCAGGTCTACTTTTCTATTTTTTTTGTGTCAATCTTTTATTGAGACTTTAGGTTTAGAGGGTACAGATTAAAGAAAGGAAGCCAGGGGGTTTGACATTACGTATGATATACGTAATAGAGCAGACTCTTAGTAGTAACCGTCTCATTTTTTGTTAAAGTAAAACACAGGTATAAACATGCTGGGTATTTGTGCCAAGCTTAATAACAGGAATATATTTAGAATCATCATAGGGATAGCTGTCCAGGCTCAAAGGCATTACAAAGTAAGAGTTATCAGAATGGCATGCATAGTGATAATATTAGTAGGAGTACATTGCTCAGTTTTCTCGAAAAAAAATAATAATCAGGCTATGTGCATGAGCAGACAACAAGCACTTATTGTTAAAGAGAAACAAGCTTAGTTAGTCTAATGCGTAGGTTCAGTAGTCAAGCTAGGTTAAGGGGAGCATAGACCCTCACAATGATGGTTAGAACCATCAGATCGGCACGTACATAGCGTGGTGCATGGTGGCTCTTAACCAAGGCTGCAAAACATACATAGTAACATCAACAATGAAAACACAGCAATTTGGGGAACGGCTCACGTTATACATATTCTGTTCCCTGGCAGCCTGTGCTATCAGTAGGGTGATTATTGAGTCATGCATGTAGAATGCACAGTGAGCCCGGAACCCAGTGAATCAAGCTCAGGTTGTGTATGTTAACATTTCCGACATGGGAAAACAGCCACCTACAACAAGACTGAGTGTGACTATAATGGTGTAGTGGGGATGGGATGCTATCTGTTTTACGGTTATGATATAGACATGCTAGAGAAATAAAAAGTCAGATTCAACATGAGTGGGGTACGTTGCATTGTTGAACTGAGGTAATGTTATCTTTGGGTGGCATACTGGACCCTGTCTTCCGATCATGCTGTCAGCCAATCCCCGCGCTTGGTAGGCTGGAAGCGGATGTTTGTAGATCTCAGAGGGTGATGGCAAGCTGTGGGCAGATAGAGGCCTCTCCCCAGCCCTAGGCCTGATGTGAGGTAGGCATTTGTGTCCCGCAGACCTGGGAGCTCTGTGGGACCGGGTCTCTCCCAGTATGGGTGCCATGAAAGGCCCTGAAACTGCATGGGTACAGGCCTTGGTGTGCGATTTGCAGCCACCATTTTGCAGGGGCGCAGACTAGTCGAAGCCCGCGCTGGAGTGAGTGGTATGCGCCAGTGGCGGTGAGTGCACCAAGTCAATAGGGACCGGGATAACCCCGTTGGACCAATGGGGGGAACAGGAGCCCAATCCTGGATCTACTGCAAGTTGTGGTGGCGGGAGAGCGGCCATCTCCCGCTGGGCCGACCACACTGCTAGGCCGCAAGAGTCGACTGCTCGAGTCCGGCATGGAAGTCCCTAAGTGTGGTATCAGCTTGTAGGGCAGAAAGTCCCCGTTCATGAGTAGGTCAGATTGTGCCGGTTTGCAGGTTCTGCTCCATGAGATTTGGGGAAAATTAGCATAAAGATGAGGGAACTGCTGCAACTTGCGTCTGCTCCCGTCCGCAGTCAGGCCCCGCCCCCCAGGTCTACTTTTAATAATGGTCCATGGTAACTTGTGGATTGTTGCAAGCACTTCACAAATCATATATAAATTGTTCTGTAAACATCCATGATCAGCTCTTACATTTTAGGATTTGAGTACCTCAATTGTACCATGCAACAAAGTGCCATGAAGTGAACGGGAAATGGCAAATTTTAGGCTAGAAAAAGCCAAAACAGTTTTAACACAATGTTAGGCAAAGAGAAAAAAAAACCTTTTGCACAACATCGGGAGTTTGGTGTTTAGGGGGGAAAAACACTAATGCATACTAAGACCACTAGGAAAGGTCCCCCACTCTTCAAGTGGACTGTCTATCAACAAAAGAAAAAGGGACAGAGCCATAGTGCTCTCTGTTGAATCCTTAGTGCAAAAAACCCCATAAAAGATTAAAAACACTCACAACAATATTAGATGTTTGTGCATATCAGGAGAACAATCTCCTATTGACCCTGTCTGCTTTTGTAACTCCCTCGCTGGTTCCGGCTCTGAGGGGTAATGTAAATCGTCATAAGCACACACATCTCCTATAGATGTGGGAAATTTTGCAAATCGTTTTTTTTTTTTCATTGGTTGAGTCAGTTATAATGGATTTTAATTTGGCGTTTTTTGGGGCCTGACAAACAGAAGAATTAGAAGAAAGAAGACTTCAGATACTAAATATAATTATTTTTAATAGGCATTAGTTTTATTGTCCCCTTCACTATAATTAGAGTGAAGGTAGGGAC